CGAGGTCGACTTCGGGGGCGCTTCAGTAATGGCCAGCCGTTTGCCCGCGTCGAACGCGTAATCGTACTTCCTCGAGCGTTAAAAGGCCCTGAAGAAACTGTATCGCCGCCAGCCATCCTCCGACATCAACCTTCACACTCTCATTCTAGTTATCGCTGATACCAGACATCTTTTTGCCACGACAAACCGCTCGACATGTCACGGGTGAGTTGTGGCGAAGAAAATAATCGCGATTGTAATTTCATTTCACTATATGTATATGCCACTTGTCCACGCAGATCTTTATACGTTGTTTTGTTCGCCGACATTTGGTGATTTATTGGCGAATTATCTGATTAGTACAATTATTTGTCGAGTGATAATAGATCTGCAGTTTCCACTGTGATTAATCGAGTACCGATATTTATTTGATTCGCTTGCTTATAATTGATATTTAAAATCAAAGGAGATAGTTGTTTACGAAGTCTTTTAGTTTTTTGTAATTGGTTAGCTAATTTCCTTACGAAATGTACAATATTTAGTTTCTAATTGTCGATAAAACGTATGTACGGTCAAATTTATTACTTTGAAAAAATGAAATTAAACGTTTGTAATTTATATTATCACGGACGGAGAGATAAATCCTTCTTTTCGGCTCGTTAGTATAATATTAAAGTCTTGTCACGTTGCACAAACTAAAATTAATTCTGAAGAGCAGAGTTGATGGCGTTTGCCACGCGATTAATCAACAAATTCTTCGATCGTACGCGATCTCCAGGTGCAATAAACTCGATGCGGAGAAATGAGATAATTAGCACTACTGGTTCACTAGTTTCGTAATAGTTAGGATTGATTGACTCCTTCCATTAACTAAAACCCGGTGTACCGGGCAATACTATGGAGAATCGAGTAAACGAACTCAACACCGCTATTCTTGGGTTTCCATCGTTTCGCGGATAATGATCTCCGACCTATAATTGTCTATCATTAACTACCTAAGATTACTAATCTAGTTAGTACGCAGCAATTACTACGCCGAATGTACTAAAATTTACAAATACTCTAATCTTCTTAATTTGTACGTTTCATTGCAAAAAATGGAATGTTTTTTGTCTAATGGCTTTCGGTTTTCATTAAAACATGAATATACTTATACATGTTTGTTGAGCTTCTTAAGTCTTATTGATTTTAGCATGATGCGGTTAAAAATCTTATTTCCGGTTTGCATACGGATATAAATAAATAATAATTAATGATGGTGGCAATAGGGTGACCAGTGGTCAGTTTCATAGATGTGTGACGCATGATGGGGTGACACGCGTTCAGATGTAGTAGGTAATTTGGCCGAACTTCATGGTTGGGGTTGATTCTGTCACGTGTCATAGAACCCCACTCAAACCGGTTTACCACGTGCTTACTGGCTTATCGGGATCTGTCGCGCGTTTCTTAAAGCCGCACTCCTGCTCCCTTTACAGATAGATTTGCAATTCACAGATAGCCTTTTAGTTTGCGTCAATTATTTTGCGTGAATATCAGTATAAATAAGTAGAAAAACAACACACACAAAATTGCATAAGGTCATGATATAGATGCACAATAAAATGTATCGCGTGTTATAAATCTATCTTCCATCAATCAAATATAGTACGCGAAAAGTACACATTCTCCACGCATTTAACTGCATGTATGTATGTCGCCTTTAAAACTGGTCGATAAGTTGCTTAAAGTAATCATTATACACGCTTTCTTTGTCATAAAGTGTTTCTACTTTTAAAATTAAAATTATTAAAATGAACGCGAAAGCAAATTATCAAATAAAACTTGTTACATATCGCGTATAGATATTTGTATTAATAACTTACCGCCATTCTTAACTCGACAATTTTATGCGTTTTCGTGTTTCTCCACTACTACTCTATTTCAAATGCGAGCAAGAAATAAGACAAGTAAAAAAAGTAGCCAAAGGAGAAAAAAAAGTCGAAAGAAGATATCTAATTAATTTGCACACTATTAATCACGTATAGTGAAGTCATATTTTTTGTTTAAGTCTCGCAATCGCTTCTCCATATTGCGTGAATCGTATCACTTAACACGTGAACCGGACGAACGATGAACATTGACCGTGGTAATTTCCCCGGGCTCCGTAAGACGTTCGCTTCGTCACGTCTCACTGTCCTTATTAGTTAACGAGTTCTCGATACAGCAGTTATTAATTTTACGCGACGTCGTATTATAAATATAACGTGCTTGTTTCTTCAATGATCTGTAACGAAGCCGTGATAGGCCAATAAAAGAAAGCGCTATCTTCGATCTTTGGAATGATGAAACCGTCCAAACAATAAAATCTTCATTGGAGATATTCAGGCGCCTTTGATAGCCGACTCCAAATATGAATTTGCGTATGAAATCTAATATCTAACTGTACATTGGCCGTTGCTAAGATTTAATATTATTTTTATTTCTCTTTTTAAACTGTAGCCGTAGATCACCGTTTTTTTATCTTAGCGTTTGCATTTATAACGTAACCATGTTGGCTTTTACATGATTTTGTTAAATTCCACTCTTCCATGGATACAGCGATTAAGTAATATATAATTGCATTACTCTTGGATAATCATCAAGGCATCATCTACGCACGTGATACGTAAGTGTAATTGGATAATCAGAACTATTAAGGTCATACAAGTTCTAGATTGCGGTTATATGGAATCATTTAATTAAGTTATCAATTGGTTCGTTTATTTATTTTTACATATTTATAGCGTTTCCATAATAAGACTTTGCATCAAGCAAAATGTGTTGGCAAATTTCTATCAAGACGTCTAGATTAAACCCCGGGTATTGGATTACCAAAATTATAATCAACTAACTCACTGTTTTGATTCTAGCTAATCAAGTCAATTAAAAAAAGTTTCGCGCTCCATCTACCTATGAAGTTTCGACAGCATCGGTGTAATGAGCTATAAATGGATTTGGTATTCAAAGAATGTAATCGAAGTTAATTTTCGCATGGTCAAGGGCGAACGTAGGCGTCCCTTTGTGAAACTATGTGACCGTGAATTCTCGTGTAATGAGCCCGGATTCTCTCACGCTATGCCCATTCGATGCACTTATCGGTAACGATATGCTTTGATATCATTCGAAGAAATTTTTAGCTGCGCTAATACTCCGTAATATTTTTTACATGTAGTTAGTGATTTTTTGATAATATATATCTAATCATATTTTAATCGATCAAATTTATTTTTTAAAGTATGATTAAGTGTCAAAATTACTCACGTATAGTATTAGCCACGAATTCAAGATGCATATTCCCCTTCTTTCTTCTTCGAAGTTGCATCATAAACGAAAATACAGTTGCCGATCAATGTTTCTTGTGAAAACCACACAACCAGTTAATAACTCATTGTTTGACAGAGAAGAAAAGACAACGGGGTAGAAATTTCTGGAAAAGAATGAATCGAATGGTTCGAAGCGTGTACCAGCAATCAGGCGATAAAGTTGAAAAAAGCTTTCCTATCTCTTCAATTACCTTCCCGACTGAAATGCCTTTCCGACAATTCACTTTTTCTTTCGCTGTTTGACATTCGCCATTATCTCATTATGGATGCCAAGTACGAGTGAAAACAATGTTGAAGATAATTCAAAATCGTAGAAACTTCTCGACTTCGTTTAGTATATGCAACATCGAAAGAAAAAGTCGATGAAGAGGGAAGAGAGAAAGACGAAGAAGGAAAGCGGTAGAACTATCCCATCATAGAAGAGCAGCGGAAGGCTATGCACATAATATCTGAGCGTGGTTATCACCGGCGGGATAATGTGAGAAAAAGGAGAAATACGATGGAAGAGGTGAAATCTCGATGACCCACGGAACCGCCGTCTGTAAAAACTTGTTCAGATATGCAAATGTGCAGTTTAATCCGGTTTACTCGCTTCCTTCGTCTCTTTGACACGGTTCAAACTCCACGATCACATACAGATTACTGATTTGACAATTTATCGCGATCGCATGAATTTATGCGCCACCGCGTAATTCCTTTGGAGGATTATTTTAACAACAATGATACAATTTCATTGTATAGACAGGTACAAATGTGTGGAATGGTGATAAGGGCTATACCTCTGACTCGTATCTGCTTAGCACCGAAGCTAAACTATTCTTCATTATCATTTATTGTTATCATTTTTCTAAGCAGCCCTTCTTCGATAAAACTTTTAATAGATTCTAGATACGCAATAAGAATTAAAGTAATTAAATCGTAAGAACTTTTTAAATCCAATTGGACGATCTCTTTCTATGAATCAAATTATTTGATTATATCATTTATAAACGCTATTACTGTTATTTCGCTTGTTGTACTTTGTTCTACCATTAGCCTATTTATGTATTTTTCTGTTTTCTTGTAATTTATACTTTAATTGTATACTGTAATTGTTATCTTTGCTATTGACTAGTTTGTATTATTATAAATTCATTATTCTTTTCTTACTTTTATATGATCATCATTATTATTACTATTTTGTTCTTGTACTTTATTCTGCTATTAGTTATTTTCGTGTATTTCTCCTGCTTTTTATTAATCTCATTATAACGACTGTATCAGTGGACTCTTCACGTTAATCTTAAATAAATAAATAAAATTAAACTAAATTAAATAAACCACTATGTAGACATATTTAAGTTTGATAACTGAAAACTTCGGTACCGCGGCGAATCAACAGAAAAACTAGAATTTATTTAAAATAAGTCGGTTAAATAAACTTCGGTAAATCTCGTCGCCCTATGTTTCCTGATATCGTGCAATTACCACGAGTAATTGTCCCGAGTTTCAAACTGGATACCGCTTCGAGTCAGGACACGTGATCAAACGAGAGTTGTAAATTATCGGGTTTCAAAAACTTTTAAGCTCATTGTTCACCGCGCGAACACGAGCTAATTGTTATTACTATTGACGCGGAACATCGAATGTACCGACGTGGTTTATCTTGTCGTGATTATTAGTACAGCTGCGAGATTCTCAGGAGGGGTTGCTCAAACCATGGCTTCCCATGCTGCATTCAACTCGTACGTTGAACTTCTCCGGCTGATTTGCGCACAAAATTGATCATGCTAAATCACCGCTGGTTTCTTGTCTTTTGCCTAATTATTAGATGCTATTTTTGGAAAATGAACAGTAGCTCGTTTAATTGTATGTTGCGTCAAACCAAAACGCACTAAGTTGCAAAAGTATTTTGCCAGTTACGATAAAAAATACTGGTTTAACTCAAAGTGATTCTTCTATCCTTGAAGATATGTTTTAGCTTTCGATCAATTTCGATCAATCGCCGAATTTCTGCTTTTATATCTTGATCGGCCAAAATGCTCCATCGATAGAAAGTCGTGTATACGAAGTCGTAGAAAAGTTGGAATAGCGTATTCGGAGGGTGATATCCTCACGAGGAGCCAGTTTGGCCATATACATATCGATTGGTGCCATTCGGTGCCTGGCAGAGGGTCGTGCTTCTTCTACTTCCATTCTCGCAGATACCGGATACGACAAAGCTCTAACAAAAGAACAAAATCGAGAAGTATGACTATGAGCGATTTCTCTACCGATTCGTGGAGCAATTAAGAGGCTCGCAATTCTTTGGAATTTTTAAACCTTTCCCAGATTATAATTCCTGTCTTTCGTGCAAATTGAACCAATTTTAATGGAATCATAAAAAAGGAGGAAGAAAATTCCATAGTAAATATGTTTGTCCTCATTTCGATAACAATATTTTTTAAATAGCCTTGTTTATTGCTTCTATAAGAAGATTAAACTGATCTAGTATAACAGTAATTACATTGACATAGGTACTATATAATCAGATATTATAAAGATCATCTTCTTATCGTTTATTCTTTTATTTTTCCTTCCTTTCTTGCTATCGTATTAACGTAAGCAATAATATTTTGAAAGAATATTATATCGAAGATAATGCATAAAAATTACTTTGCTTTACTTTATTAATATGCACTAATGCGTTGTGCAGTATGATGAATATATAAGTTTTGCAAACATTTATCGTGGAAAATTAGGAATAGGAACTAAGAGTAAGTCTAGGAGTAGAATTAGGAATTAATAAGGGGATTAATGATGAGATTATTGCAAATGTAAAAATATTGTTCTAGCCATTGTCTAAAGGAATTTCACAATTATCAACGAGGGGACAGATGGAGAGGCGGCGACCACCGTTTCTCAGAGGCCCTAATAAAACGAAAGAGGTATAAGTTTGGTTATCTTATTAAATTATTTCTGCTATTATTTAATATGCGCTAGCGCAACGAAAATGAAACATAGTTAACTGGAGAAATCTCTGGATTTAAAAATAAATATATTACGACAAAACATATTTATGTAGCTTTTATTTCTTAAACGAATATTGAAGAAGTATTCTATAGTTGATAATTAAATACAAAGGACATTAGATTTGTTTCAAAAGTTTTCTATTGACTACTTAACATTTATTCATTCTTGTTAACTATTTTATATCTAATTTAATTATATAGCAATTTTTAATTTTATTATACGTGGTAATCGTGCTATAAGCATAAGCAATTTAAATAAGTGAAGAGACAAACATTGCATACACCCAGTATTCTATAATTCTATACCTAGGTCCTTTTACAAATGTATGTACATACTTCACTTACTAAGCAACAGTAAACAGTAAACAGTAAACAGAAACCTAACCCTAACTAAATGATGATGAATGCATTTTATAGTTTACTAAAAATTCATGCAACATTTTAATGATAAAAATAGGAAAACAAAACTGAATATATAATATGTATGGTAAAAATAAATAGCATTTACATTAATAAATAAAAAATAGTTCTCAAATATTGTACATAGTATCTGTAATTATATAAGAATGAGACAACAAATTTATGATGTAATTATAATTTGTAAATCAAATAATATAACACGAGAATTTTTAAGAATTTATTAAGGTATTGATGTAAGAAAAGTTTTATTAAATTTTTGTTCCCTAAGCTATCAAGTATAAGATATTATGTCCATTTATAAAGGATCAATATTTTCATAGGTAGAAAAAAGCACAGGTGGTAAAATGGATTCTGCAGGTAGCACAATAAGTGGTGCTGGAGATCGTTTAAGTGAAGAAGATCTTTCACCAGATGCATTAGTTAGACAGAATTATGAATTACGACATCGTCTTGAAGAAGAAGCAGCCCATTATAAAAGACGTCTGGATACATACAGACAAGCACAACAACATCAGGCTGCTCTTGTTTCCCGCTTACAAGCCAAAGTAGGTCTTTTTGAATTTACAATGAATTTTGCAACATATATTAATATTTCATATTTTTAGGTGTTGCAATACAAACAAAAATGTTCTGAATTGGAAAGTCAAATGGCAGAATCTGCTGTATATGATTCTAATAAGGCTGCGAGTTCTACATCTCCAACAACTTCTGTTTTAGATGCAGCTTATCAAACGTTAAGGGAAATACGTGAGGAACAGGTTCATGATTTAGACACTGCTTTAAAAAAACTGGCAGAAGAACGTAAAAGGTATCATCCTCTTTCTTTACAGATAGAATAAACTTATCAAAGTAAATATTAAAATACTAGTCCCTTGCTTAGATGTGAAAAACTGTTGCAATTAAATACAACTTTGAAAGATCAGTTAGAAGAATCTCATCAAACAAATGAAGCACTCACAAATGATTTACAGAAATTAAGTAATGATTGGGATATTTTAAGAGAAGAATTGGCTATCAAGGAAGAGGAATGGAGAGAAGAAGAACAAGCTTTTAATGAATATTATACTTCGGAACATAATAGATTATTAAATCTTTGGCGTGATGTTGTTTCTGTAAAACGATTATTTGCAGAGATAAAGTCTAGTACGGAAAGAGACTTATTAAAAATGAAGAATAGCGTTATTTCTACGTTTAACGATGTCTCGTCGGCTTGTAATAATACAGGATTCGCTATAAGAATGCAAGCAGCTATGCAACCAATGGTACATATATGTGAATAAGTTTTAATATGTGTTTTAATTTCATCATATTTTAGATATCTCAGCAAGTTCAACAAGCACAGGAACAGGTAACAACTGACTTAAAAACAGAATTAACAACACTTAAACAACAATATGACGTAGCTCAGAATGAAATTCATATAAAAGAGGAAAAAATCAATCAACTTATTCGTGATGTTCATAGTTTGGTAATTATCGAAATTAAAACAATATAGTTGTTACATAAAATAGTTATAATAATTATATTTTATTTTTAGGAAGAAAGATGTGGTGAGGCCGAAGCAGAAGTACATCGTAATTCACGCTTACAAGATGATATAGAAATTTTACAATCTGCATTGAGAGATATAGCACATGCTGTAATCCAAGATGCAGAAACTCGTGAAATTGAATCTACCCAGGCACCTCCTCATCTTCATTTGTCACCTACTGGACCAATCCCCCAAAAATCACCAAAAAGAGGTACAAGAAGCAACACCATTCCAGCCTTTGCTGAAAGTACTATCAGTGCTGTACAAGCAGCTCTACATAAATATCAGTTGACTATACACGAGCTTCAGGTGTGAAGATTTTATATTCTATGTTTTAGTAAATTGTAAAAATGCAGAATTCACAGCTTATAAAATACTCTCTTATTTATATAACAATATATTTCAATAATCTATTACATTAGGTAAA